CAAAACATGAGCATCAGAAATATAGAGAGATGTTGCATGTATAAGAAAACACTTGATGGTTAACCCAATAAAAAATACTTACTTTTATGTAAAAGAAAATACAGAAGATGAAGCTTCCAAAAATGAGTGCTGAAAATATTTCTCCCAAGTGGTCATAGACAATTGTAGGGTTAAAAACCCCAAACCTGAAGAATGAACACAAAGAAGGGATATCAACACAGTGGATTATAAAAGCCACTTGGTCCATAGAAATTAAAATTCAGATAAACACATGTTGTTTTCTCAAGAATGTAGGGTCCAGAAAATGTGAAATTGGAACGAAAACCAAAACAGAAGGTTATTCAACCCTAACAACACTGCTAAAAAAGTATCTGCAAAGTTCATCGACATCTGGATATACATACTTTGGCCCCAGGAAATTAGTTTCGAAGGGTAATCACTAGGAAGATAGAGTAAATACAGCAGTATAGAAGAAATTATGAAGCATATTGAACAAAATTCAAATACTGAAACAACCACACAGCATCACTGTTTCTTGAAGGTAAGAGAGGAAAACAAAGAAGCCAATTTCTCAAGTACCAGAGCTGGTAAGACCAAAATTATGACATAATTTCAGTGATTAGTCCCCTCATCTGATCAGGAAGAGCTCCTTGGATAAAGACACAAGAAGTGAAGGCCAAATCACCATAGTTCAACTGACATTTTCAGAGAAAGAAAGAAACATGACATATCTAAAGAGGCCTATTCTTTTGAACCTTTGCTTCCTTATTTAGATAACCATACTTCTGACATTTCCAATGAAAGATACAAGAATGAAAAATCTAATTTTCCTTTTCAATCCTTTCTATCTTCAATTTGTTCACTAGAGTTTGCAGCACAGCACTATCTCTATAATTCTGTCAAATACAACTGCAAACAGCAGCACATAGAAAAAAGGTTATCAAAAACTATGAGCCTCTAATAGCAAAGAGACTTAATACTCCACATTACATTCGCACATGACGTGCATGAATGCCTCGCTAAGAATAAGAAAGCCCTAACCACCAAAGGCTGAGATAAGTAATCAATGTCACTGCATATGCCGCCACACCATTCGCCTGCAATAAGCAGAAGATCAAGGCTATGATTTCGGCAATACGACAACACTTAAAAGATAACTATTGAACAAACAGCCAACAACACTTGCTCACTTTTTTTGATGCTATAAAAACTCCAAATAATTTAAACACCATTAAATAAGTCAAATCTACATTTATATGTAGGCAAGATGCAGAAAATGACAAGGAAATATCAATGAGATAATACCAGATATCTGGTACCTTATAAACAGGCCTGTTTCCAGCAGGAGATATTGGCCCTTCAACCCTTTTTCCAGGTAGAAACAGTTGGAGTACAGCCTCAAATGCCACATAACATGAAATCATTTTCCATGCAATAGCAGTGGGTTTTGGCCAAATATTAATAAATCCCGGCAGCCCATGCTACCTTTGGTAACCCAGAGCCTGAGATATAGACCCATCAGCGTGCACCATTGTATACCATCTGTATGAAGTAATAAATTCTGATTTTAATTTTATCTTCATAAAAAGTGCAATGAGTTCAAAAAATCAATAGAGGAGCTAAAATTTGATTATTTCTCTGTGCTTATTGGTGGGGGGACCTCCTTGAAGAAAAATAGATTCTCATCCCTAAAAAATAATAAATTAAACTAGCAAACTAGAAGGGCTTTCAAAGATTTGAACAAACTGATCTTATTTCGACTTTGACTTGGTTATTGTGATCATGGCTACGCGCTGGAGACGAATGTAATCATTCAATTATTATGAATTCAAAGCAGCATGTTTGAGACAAACAATCACCCAATTTGCATCACAGATTTATACTACAGAAATTTCAATCATCTAAGTAGATGAATACATTGTATATTTTTTTACTTTTTTTTTTTTTTGGTTTTGTTTTTGTTGGGACCATATTAGCATAAAGTCAAAATAGCGGATGAAATTCACAAAGTGGAATTTTTACTTTTCTTTCCATTCAGCATTCTCAAGAACCAGACAGAGTGCAAAGCAAGGCTGTTCAAAGTTATTCACCCAAAAAAAGGCTGTTCAAAATATAGGGATCGTGAAATTTAATGACAGTAGTAGAAATCTGAAGATCTTAGAATTGTCGAGGTTGAAAATTGAATAAAATTGTAGACGAAATCAAGTGCAATCAAAGAATGGATTGATGTTATGAGAGAATTACAAGGACTTACAAGAGAATAACAAACGGAGGGCACAGAAACGGAGGGCACAGAGTGAGAAGGCAGATCATTGAGTATGTAACGATGGGGGAGTGCACCATCTTCATCTCTGCCATTACTCCTCTCTCTCTCTCTCTGTGTACTCTAAAAGTGCGTCTCTTTGAGGCTGACAACGTCTGACTTACCCGGGCAGGGGAAGAGCACCAAGGATCCTATAGAGTGAAATTTTTCTAAAGTTTACTAGAGTGCTACATTGTGTGGTTGAGATTTATTGACAAGTCACATCAATTTTTCTGATGTGACTTGTCAATAAATCTCAACCACACAATATAGCACTTTAGGAAACTTTAGGAAAAAATCACTCTAGAGGATCCTTGCTAGGGGAAGAGGGCCGATTTCCCCACCAAGGATTCTAGAGCGAAATTTTCTTAAAGTTAGAGTGTTATATTGTGTGGTTGAGATTTATTGGCAAGTCACATCAGAAAAATTGATGTGACTTGCCAGTAAATCTCAACCATACATTGTAGCACTTTAGGAAATTTTAGGAAAAAATCACTCTAGAGGATCCTTACTATGAGGTGTGTTAAAAAAACAAATTAGTTTTTTTTTTTTTTTTGAAAATTACATTGACACCTCCCTTGAAATTTATATTTATTACAGTTTTCTCATCTTTTAGAAATTATATCTCCTTTTTTTTTTTTTTGGAAAATTACATTGACACGTCCCTTGAAATTTATATTTATTACAGTTTTCTCATCTTTTAGAAATTATATCTCCTTCTCTGAGGTTTAAAGTTTCATTACAGATTGTCTCTTAAGGTTTAAAGTTTTATAACAATTCTCCTCTTACCGTAATGATAATCATACATAAAATTAAATTAACGGGAGGTCAATGTAATTTTCTAAATATAAAAAGGTGAACTCTAATAAACATAAATTTCAAGAGGTGTCATTGTAATTTACCTTTTTTTAAACTTTTTAACTTTTTTACGTTAAAAAAAAAATCACAAAAAAGTAATTTTTTTACACAAAAAACTATAAAAAAAAAAGTTTAAAAAGTTAAAAAGCCAATTTTTAATCAACTTCTCACAATACCCATATGCCATTCTAGTCTAGGGTGTGCTTTTGTTTTTCTTTACTCCCATTATAGGGTGAAACAGTTTTACAATGTCCTTTTTTAGAAAACGATTTTATCAATGCCGTTTTTTGTCAATAAAAAAATAGTAAAATGTTCCTACACAAAATCGATTTTGCAAAAGCCCTTTTTAGTTAACGTGTAATTAATTCTTAGTTAATTAAAAACAATTTTGATAAAACTATTTTTTAGTAAAAAAAAAAAAATTCCAACTTGTATTTCCAGCATAAATATTGTTTGCCAAAAATAAATTTATTACATAAAACGGTTTTACAAAAGCCGTTTTATAATACGACTTTACAGAAGCCATTTTATGGGCAACATTTTGTATTTCAATTTACTTTTGTTGTCGGGTTAAAGTGAGACCCAAGTGATTTGTGTTGACACTGAGCAACACAATAGACATTGTCATTGAGTATAACTCACAAGGAAGATCGACGAAAAACAAGCAACGCGACACCATTGGCAAAATTGGGAAGACCTTCAACAAACATCCACATTCAGGTTTGTATTGCATAAATGAAGGCTTTCATTTCAGATTTCGAATTTTCAATTTACAAATTAAGGATTGTTGAAGCTAGGGTTTTGAAAAGGTACAAATGTTGTAATTCATAAGACATGTTTTGTAACTAAGATCTAGTTTGTTCAATGTTGAACAACATTTTCTGGCCACAAAATTTAACAAATTATTTGATCATCTGTTGTATTTTATTTTAAATGGTTCTAATTACTTCTTATTGTATGTCGAAATGAAATTTTTTCTATTTTGATTATAATCTCTTGTGAAAGATGTATAGGTTTTTTGTTTACAAATAATTTTACAAATTTTTTTATTTGAAATGTGGGCATTATTTAAAATGTACAGGTTATTTATTTGAATTGTGCAGGTTTTATATTTGGAAATATTTTGTATTTTATTTGAAATGTGGGCAGCATTTTATTTTATTTTCAAATGATTTTATTTCCATTTTCATTATTTTGAAGGTAAAAAGTGAAATTAAATTTGTCGTGCTTATGTTTTCCAAAGGGAAAATAAATTTTATTCTTCATGGAAAAACTTATTGTTATTGGTTTTTAAATATTTGATACTATTGTTTGATAGTGAACAATTGTGGCCATCCTAGTTTACAATTTGAACTTCTGAATAATTTAGGATTTTGTTGTTGGAAGTTGTTAGGTTCTTATAGTATGACAAATTAGGGCTTGTAAAATTAGGTTCTTATAGTATGACACATTTGGTTATTTAATTTTGCTGTACGAAAGCTATAACAACTCAGATTTTTAATTATTCTGTAGAATTTATATTAATATTATTTAATCTCAGTTCGAAAAATATATAATTTATTATATATTACTATGTGTAATTTTGTAAAATAATATAATTATTAAAAGTTTAGGGTCAAAATATAAATAATAATAATATAGATAATATAAATAATAATAATAATAGGTGTGGTACTAAAATAAATAATTATTTTTCTATTGATATCTGATAAAGTGTAATTTAATTAAAGAATTAAATTATTTATATAATTATATTAAAATATTGATTTATTTTTTGTTAATATAAGATATAGTGTAATTTAATTAATAATTAAATTATTTATATAATTATATTAAAATATTGAGTCAAAGAATAATTATTTTAAATATTTATTTAGGATAAGATTGAATTTATATATAATTATTAAACGAGTCTGAAGTGAGACACGCGTCGGACCATGTGTTGGCCGATGAACGGCGTCGGCTCCCTATAAATAGGGAGAGCGATCAATTTGGAGAAGGGGAACGAAAGAAGAAAAGGAAAAAGAAGGAAGGAAAGGAAAGAATGGAAAAAAATAAGTAGAAACTGAAAGGTCTTTGATAGTGGAAAGAAAGATTAATGTATTAAAGATAAGGTGAGTTATATTATATCTTGAGTTACTAAAATATATTTTATGTATATTTTAACTTATCAAAATTTGTTTTATACAAGTTATGTTTTTAATAAAAGTTATGTTTTATAAAGGTTTTAGTTACGTGGTTTATATTCTGAATCCTATTTGCTTAAAAGGAAACTCATACATATGTCTGTTTATATTTTAAAGAATATTTGATTATGACCTTATAAACAATTATGTTTTGTAAGTACTACCACGGGAGTCTCATGCCTTGGGGGACTTAAATAACTATTGGCCTCTGTTTGATCACTTTGTGGTCCTCTATTTGTCATAGATCCACTGACCTCTGTTTTGTGCGGGCCAAAGTGCTGTGCGGCACTAAGTGCTACACTATTGTGGGAGTCACCTCTAGAATCCGTACGAGCCACCTCTTGAATCCGTACCTCTATTCTGTGCGGATCAAAGTGCTGTGCAGAACTAAGTGCTACACTACTATGGGAGCCACCTCTAGAATTCGTACGAGCCGCCTCTTGAATCCGTACCTCTGTCCTGACTGTCACTTCTGTGACCTCTGTTCTGTTCTGTACCGTACCGTGGTTATGACTATTTACTTACATAATCTATGTATTTTAGTTATGCTATTCAAATGATTTTTGTTACTCAAAGGATTTATTTATATAAATGTTTTGGCCTAATTAACTATCCATGGTTATTTCGTACCCTTATACTCTTGGTATAATATTTCTTACTCTGTCGTGTGTTTATAGTTGTTTACCAATTTTCAGGAATCAATGCACTTCAGAAATAGCTTTTTGGAAAGTCGGGTTGCGGAATAGACACACAGTATTTCTTTATGATATATTTTTATATGTAAATATCGGCCTTTTTTGTCAGTAAATTTTGTAATAAAAATAGAAACTCCAATGATTATTTTGGTACCCTCATTTAAATATAAAGGTTTCAGTTACGTGGTTTATATTCTGAATCATATTTGCTTAAAAGGAAACCCATACATATGTCTGTTTATATTTTAAAGAATATTTGATTATGACCTTATAAACAATTATATTTTGTAAGTACCACCACGGGAGTCTCATGCCTTAGGGGACTTAAATAACTATTGGCCTCTGTTTGACCACTTTGTGGTCCTCTATTTGTCATAGATCCACTGACCTCTGTTTTGTGCGGACCAAAGTGCTGTGCGGCACTAAGTGCTACGCTATTGTGGGAGTCACCTCTAGAATCCGTACGAGCCACCTCTTGAATCCGTACCTCTGTTCTGTGCGGATCAAAGTGTTGTGCAGAACTAAGTGCTACACTACTATGGGAGCCACCTCTAGAATCCGTACGAGCCGCCTCTTGAATCCGTACCTCTGTTCTGACTGTCACTTCTGTGACCTCTGTTCTGTTTTGTACCGTGGTTATGGCTATTTACTTACATAATCTATGTATTTTAGTTATGCTATTCAAATGATTTTTGTTACTCAAAGGATTTATTTATATAAATGTTTTGGCCTAATTAACTATCCATGGTTATTTCGTACCTTTATACTCTTGGTATAATATTTCTTACTCTGTCGTGTGCTTATAGTTGTTTACCAATTTTCAGGAATCAATGCACTTCAGAAATAGCTTTTTGGAAAGTCGGGTTACGGAATAGACACACAGTATTTCTTTATGATATATTTTTATATGTAAATATCGGCCTTTTTTGTCAGTAAATTTTGTAATAAAAATAAAAACTCCAATGATTATTTTGGTACCCTCATTTAAATATTACTTCCGCTTGCGTTTATTGATTCGTTTAAGATTTGGCCGTAGGTAACTCCAGTTATTGGCCATCACGATGCTTAACCTTTGGGTACAAGGAGCGGGTCATGACAAAAGCCCTATTACTTATAATGTCATATACGAATGGAATTATGATGTATGAAGTAGCTTTAGAACCCAATGCTACACGAAGGTGAAATGAGAAATTATGGCGTATACAGTACAGTATGTAACTTTACGCCTAATTTAATATGTGGCAAGCTTTCTTGGATGATGGAAGGGAGAGGTGCGAGAATGTTTTCAGGTTTTTGTCTTCTTCGTTCTTGCTACAGCTCTCGCGGTGGCCTTCGTCTTCTTGGCCTCTTCCTCGATACTCTTCGTGTCTCTCTCTTCTTGGCCTCATTCGCGGTGCTATTCGAGAATGTTGAACTACAGAGAGTGTGTGTGTGTTTCGAATTGTTGGACCAGATTAGTTTTAAGCCAAAAAAAAGTTAACTGAAAACGGTTTTAGAAAAGTCGTACTATAAAATGGCTTTGTTAAAACCGTATTATGAAACAACTTTTGTAAAACTGTTTAATGTAATAAAATTATTTTTGACAAACAATCTTTATGTTCAAAATACAAGTCGGGGAAAAAATATATTTACTAAAAAATGGTTTTACCAATATTGTTTTTAATTAACTCATAATTAATTACACATTACGTAAAAATGACTTTTGCAAAGCCGATTTTGTGTAGGCAAAGGGAATTTTTAAATTTTTTTTTTTATTGATAAAAAACAGCATTGATAAAACCGTTTTATCATATAATGAGAATAATGAAAAAAACGCACCCTACAGTGGGACTAGAGTTTTGAGAATGCCATAGTCAAGGAAATTGGCTGGGGAAGAGACCTAAGACTAGTGTTCGAATGTTGATGGCTGACAGTACTTGGGTTTTATAGTGTCATGACCCAACCCCAAGGGCTTGGGCTTGGAATTGTAACTTATTAACTTATTCTATTTGTAGCAAATTGAATTGCGCAAGCAAAAATAAAAATAATTAAACATGAAACTACTCAATTTTACTATTTTAATAAAAGAAAATACATCTATAGCGTTTTTATTATTTTATTATTCAGTGACCGACTCTGAGTAGAAACAAAAGGGAGCATAAATATAAAAAAAAGAAATAAAAAAAGACAAAATAGTGGTTCAACATCAATCCTCGTGCAGATTCCATTACGTGAGATTATGGGTTTCCTCTACATCTCGTCACCTGAAATAGTAACAGCTATAAGCACACAGTAGAGTGAGAAATATTATGCCAAGAGTATGGGGAATACAAAATAACCATGGATAGTTAGTTAGGCCAAAACATTTACATAACTCTATTTGGTAAACAAATCATTTAAATGGCAGAAACTAAAATACATAAATTATATAAATAAATAACCATTACCACGGTACAGAACAGAACAAAACAGAGGTCACAGAAGTGATAGTCAGAACAGAGGTCAATGGATCCATGACAAACAGAGGACCACAAAGTGGTCAAATAGAGGCAAGTGGTTATTTGAATCCCGCAGGACATGAGACTCCCATGGTGGTACTTACAAAACATAATTGTTTATAAGGTCATAGTCAAATATTTTTAAACATTTAAGCAAACATATCCATGGATTTCATTTTAAACAAATAGAGTTCAAAAATTAATTCACGTAACTGAAATATTAATATAATTTATAAAAAGTAACTTGTATTAATATAACTCATAAAATATAATTTATATAAAATAAATTATGATAAGTCAAAACATACGTGAAATATATTATGGTAACTCAAGGTATAATATAACTCACTTTAAAATTGAGTCTTACTATTTCCTTTATATTTTTCCTATCTTTTCGAAACTGTTATTCCTCCTTTCGATCTCTCTTTATTTCATTCTCTTATTTTCCCTCATTCCTTTACCTTTGTCGCAGTTCCCCTCCAACTTCTTATATACCTACAAACTCATGATGCCTACACAAGGTGACTCATTCTCCCTAAAGCTAGATGGTACAGGTGGCATCTAACCATCTCTCCTGAGAGATTATAATCCACTAATTAATGCAAGTAACTGATTGGCCTTATCTCATTAGTAGGCTTATTAATAATATTATTTATTTACTCTTACTTTTACATTTATTTATTTGCTATTTTTAACTCTAATTTGGCCAAATTAGTATTATAATTCTATATTTGTGTTAATTTGGCCATAAATAATAATTTCTAATTAATCTCATATTTGATAACCTAATGCCAAATTAAATTTATATATTTATTTATGGAATAATATATCATCACATACAATTATAATTATATAACTATAAATATTTATGTGATATTTAATTAAACGTTTAGGGTATCACATATAGGGTGCAGTTCGGGTCGTTGGATCGGGTTGAAGTCCGTTCAGATGAAGCTATTGTGTGTTTATTTTGAAGTGGTCAAAAGCTTTTTTTTTTTTAATTTTTTTTTTTTAAGAATATGTAACAAAGTAGAGAGGTTATATGATCTCAAATAGGGTACAAGTAAAAAATTAGCCATGTTTCCAAAACAGCTGAAGTTGTCCAACATACCCAATCTATTAAAAAAAAAAGCAATCTATGTGTTTGATTTGAGTTTTCTGGATAAGTTTTTTGAAAATTGATTTTTTTGGTTTTCGTGTTTTTTTGTTTTTAGTGAATATTTTTTAAATTTTAAACTTTTTTTTTTTACTTTTTTAGATGTACCTTACTTAGATGTATATAAAAAGTAAAAAATTTGTGAAAAAAATATTTTAAAAAATTAATAAATACATAAAAATACAAAAAAATGTACTGAATTCTTGTATTTTTTTTTTATATTTTTTGTATTTAGTGAATTTTTAAATTTTTTTTTTACAATTTTTTTACTTTTAAGGTGTATTTATGTTAGGTGTGTCTAAAAAGTGTGAAAAAATTGTTTAATATTAAAAAATCAGTAAAAACAAAAAATACGAAAATAAGAAAGTATGAATTTTCTGAAATTGTTTTTTAAAGTGGAAACA